TCTCAAGTGCTGGGATTACAGGCATGTGCCACCATATCCAGCCTATGTTTTTTAAAAGTACATTTAGGCTTCTGAGAAAGATAAAGATGTTTCTTCTCCCTCTCTCCTTTAGGTTGTCCAACCAAAAACTAAAAGCTTCAGGGCACCATGCCTAAACCCTCATCAATTCTACTTTCCTTTTTCCTTTAGTTCTATTCTCTTTTTCTCTATTTTTTATCTTTTGAGACAGGGTCTTGCTATGCAGTTCAGGCGGGCCTTGAGCTCACTTTGTAGCCCAGGCTGCTCTCAAACTCGAAATGATCCTCTTGTCTCAGCCTCCCCTAAGCTGGGATTACAGGTGTATACCACCATGACTGGCCCTCTTTTTCTTTATCTTGAATTTTTCTTTTACATTTCTTCTCTGGGTCTCAGTTGAATGAAAAAGATGGACAAGACAACAAGCTTCAAAGAAAGGAAATAGGAGTGTGGAAGGAATAAATCTAGTCAACATACCACAACTTCTTCAAAGTCCTGGGTGGTTTCTACAAGCATTTTATTGACTGTTTCTTCATTTTCTCCATTATCTTCTTTCACATATTCTTCTTCAGGCAAGTCTGGAGTTCTTTTATTCTGTGGTTCTATTAAAAAGAATAGCACAGATTAGAATTAGGCTCTTCTGCATAAACCAAAAATGTACTACATGTGCTTGATCAGGAATAAGGTTGCGCTTCCCACGCCCCTTCGGTCCCAAGGATTGAATTCAGGGCCTTGGGCTTTGCTAAGCAGGTGATTATATCACTGAGCTATATCCCTAGCCCTTATTCATTTTTTACTTTTATTTACAGATACAAATTAACAAAAATGCATCAGATATTTGATTCTCTCATACGCAGATTCTGAGAATCATAAGGCAGATATTAATATTTAAGACTGTATTAGGGGGCCAGCCAGATAGCTCAGCGGATTGAAGCACCTGCTTAGGCAAATGCAGGGACAGGAGTTCCATCCCCAGTGTGCCAGCCCCGCACCAGGGTGCACTGACATGGGACTGAGACTGCATGTGGTGGCGCGTGCCTATATTCCCAGCGCTTGGGGGCTGAAAACAGAAGGATCACTACCGAGTCTGATCTGTGTAGTGAGACCCTATAGACCCTGTACTAAACACATAAAAATAAAATTTAAAAAAGATGATTAGGGAGTAATCTTGGAAAAACACTTGCAGAAGAGTAAAAAAGCAGAAGTAGGCAGAGCGAAGTTGAGTTGGCAAAGCATTTCTACAAATAAAAAGACAACATTTTTTTAAAAAGCATTTCAGGGCTGGGGATACACCTCAGGGACATAGGCACCTGCCTCGCAAGTGCAAGGTCTTGAGTCCAATCCTTGGTACCACAAAAAAAAAAGAAAGAAAACCATTTCAATGAGGCTTACGCCAAAACCACAGGAAATTTTGGAGTTAGGAAGGCCTTTCAGAGTTGACTTCATTGGAGAAAAGAAACACCACCTTTAAAATCTCACACAGGTCAGTCCACAGGATGCTGGCAGTCCTTAGATAGGACTTTGGGCAGGGCAAGTTTCCCAGCAGCTGAAGGTGGGCCTGAGTGGTGTACCACAATCACTACACATCATCTGCAAAATCAAGGGCTTCCTAAATTTATACATCCTGTTTCCCCTTTATGTTCTGTTCTCTGAGAATTTAATTCTGCTCTCTAAGTACTGAAATTTACTACACAGCAGTAGATATTTTTTATTCTACATTCTGATTTTGGTGGTGGTTACACAAATCTGTATGCGTTAAAACACATAAAAAATGTAAAAACTGTCCATCAAAAATATTTAACATTCAGGGCATCGGTGGTATAGCGGTTAGCATAGCTGCCTTCTAAAAATATTTAACATTAAATTACCATGTGTACAGCAATGCAATCCGGAGTACATGCCTAGAACTGAAAGCAAAGTCCCCAATAGATGTTAGTATACCCATTCATTGTCACTGCAGCATTATGCACAATAGGCAAGTGATGAAGCAACCCAGATGTCCACTAAAGGGATAAACAAAATATAATGCATACATATAATGGAATCTGACTCAGCCTTTCAACAGAATAAAATTGTGACACAGTTTACAATACGGATGAAACTTCAAGACATTACGCTAAGTGAAATAGCCAGATACAAAAGGACAAATATATGATTCCACCCGTATGAAGCTCGGAAATAAAACTCATCAAAAAAGTAGAACTGAGTATGTTTGTGCACCCCTATAATCCCAGCACTGAGGAGACTTAAGCCAGGAGGTTCAAGACTCCTCTCTCTTAACCCAGATTACATATTAAGCAAGTCTCAGACTAAGCTGAATTACAAGAAAACCTGACTCAAAAAAAAAAAAAAACAAGACAAAACAGTAAAATGGCAGCTGCCAGAGAGCTGAGGAGGGGAAGGAGTGTGACTGTTTAATAAGTACAGAGATTCAGTTCTGGAAGATTGGTAAGTTCCAGACATGTATCAGAAAATTAAACAAATCAGAATACATCATGGAGTATTATGCAGTTGATGAAAAAAGAACACAAAGCTTTGCACAGACACACAGACTTAAAAATAAATATTAAGCAAACTACGGGCCAGGTGTGGTGGCACACACCTATAATCCTAGCACTTTGGAGGCTGGAGCAGGAGGAGCGCTGCAAGCACACAGCCAGGCTGGGATACACAGTGAGTTCAGGCCAGCCTGAATTACATGGCAGGACTGTCTCACAATAAATTCATTAATTTAAAACGTGAGCTTGGAAGAGGGACTTAAGGGAGAATTGGAAGGGAAAATCAAGATATATAACGTACAGGTACAATTTTCCTATGATGAATGTGATCATTCAAAACAAAAGAGTTGGCCATATGATCTGTCCATATCAGTTATTTCAACAGTAAAACGTCTTAATAGCTTTGCAAAGTATCTTAAGAACTGAATCCCAACTTGCAATTCAACTGCACTGCAATTTCTCTTTACGGTGCATCCACTGTATACACCATATAGTGTGTGCACCTTGAAGAAAAAAAAAAAATGTTGCGGGCATGCTGGCTGGCACAGGCCTGTGGTCCCAGGACTGGGGAGGCTGAAGCAGAAGGATCAAGGCCACATTCCTGAAAAAAAGTTGAAAACTTGTGGCGGACAAGAGAGCAAGGTTGAAAAGAAAGCGGAGCGCCGTTATCCCAATGTCAACAAGTGCGAGGCCCGAGCGGTGCCACCAGAGGCGCCCCGCCCCGCGAGGCCCCGCGCCGCAGGCTCACCCCCGCTGTCTGCAGCCTCGGGGTCCTGCTCCGCCTTCCGCTTGAGCTTCTGGGATGAGGGGCTCACGGGCGCGTCCCCCAGCAGGTACTTATGCTCCTGGCCGCGCAGGTGCTTCAGGTAGCGGTCCTTCATGGACTGCCACGAGTGCTGCGTGAGCGCGCCCTTCTCCATCGCCTTCCACAGGGCGTTGCCCGTGACCGAGCTGGGCGAGCGGGCGTGTTCCTTCACGTAGGTCAGGATGGCCACGTCGTCCGAGTCCGTGAAGGCGACGCGTCCGGAGAGCCGCTGCGGCTCAGGCTCGGCGGCGCCATCGCCGGAGGCCCCGGGCTTGGACTCCGGAGCCTGCTCGCCCGCCGAGGCCGCGCCCAGCCGGTAGGCTTCCATCTCCAGCCTCACGTTGCGCTCCACGCAGTCCAGGATGTACTGCGTGGAGATGAAGTCGCCCGAGGCCTCGGCCAGCGCTTCCCCCGGCTGCGCCAGCAGCACCGCCCCGGGCTCCTGTACGCGGCACACGGTGCCGCCGCCGTGCAGGATCAGCGTCGAGAGCCGGCGCTTCATCGGGCTGGGCCGCACGTAGAACGACAGAGGGCTGCCGTCCGCCCTCACGAACAGAGTGGAGGAATGGGTGGGCCCGTTGGGGTCTTTGCCCATCTCCAGCGCCTCCGCCATGTCGGACGCCCGGCACCACCACAGCCCCCACAGCCGAGCGCGTCCAAGCAGGAGCTCGAAGCAGAGCTGCTCCGGCAGACGCGAAGCTCAGCGCTGCGCATGCGCGCCGGAAAACGCCCGCCCCGGAAGAGGCGGGGCTTCGGCCTTAACCTGGAAGCGCTCGTCCGCCCTCGTCACTTTCTCATCGGGTTCTTGGCGAGATGGCAGCGGTGCAGGGGGCCGAGGTGACAGCGGACGGCGAGCCGAAACTGAGCAAGAAGTAAGTGTCTTTGCGGGTCAGTAAGTCTTTGCGGATTTAAGTCCAGGCTGGGAATGCCTTGAGCCTCATGCTCAGGTCGGGAGCCGTCTGTCTGTCCGCGCGGGTGCGCACACGTGGAGACGTAGCCCCGGAGCTGGGAAAGTACATCCCCGGGTGCCCCGGGGACGCTGGCGAGATCCCTCCTTCCCTCCTGTCGCTGCGGCTGGACTAGAATGCGGGAGGGAAACCAGCCCTGAGACTGGGATGTGACGGGAAAGAAAAGTGAAACTCCTTCGCTGCCACTCTCTGAGAGACGCATTCCTTTATTACGGAGCGCGCCCCAGTGAGCAAAGCTAGAGACCTTTTCTGAAAGACTTTCAAAATTGCTCTGGCCTCAGCGGGGTCCTTGTGAACCTTATCTATTTAAAGGGATCAGTTGTGAAACTATCGTGTACGACTCGTATGGATCTGCGAGAGATGAACGATGATGGCCAGGATTGTCAACTAAGCGGAGCACACCAGACTGCCCCTAGCCCTTCCAGATGTGTCTTTGTTAACCACCCCAAATCCTTGGGAACGTGTGTAGGCGAATACAGGTCAAAATTAGTCACCCTTTACTGGCTATATCTTTTCCAAATACTACACTGCTTCTCAAACGGGGTTTCTCAATTCAAGCCGCGGAACACAGCGATTTGAGTATTTCCTCAGTGCTCCAACTGAGACATAATTAGTACCACTCCAGAGGCACGGGAGGAATTAAATCATTACATGCTATGCTGTTTTAAGTGCGTGAAGGCTTAATCCTGCTACTGAACCCAGAGGGAAATGGTGTAGGCACTCATTAGATAGAAGTTGGTGTTTCGTTTTGTATCTCTAGGTTTATATTTAGTGCATTTTAGGAAAATTACAAGAAAAATATCAAAATTTATTGATTGTTAGAAATCCTGATATATTGTCCTTCATTTTGGAGATCTGATGAGTTTTCGCTAAATGTTGGGAATGCGTAGGGGTAGGCTTGAGTTGGTCTCAGCTATGAAATTCAGGTTTACCTTGAACTCATGGTAATCTTCCTGCCTTAGCCTCCCAAGTGTTGGGAATACAGGCATGTGCCACCACACCCAGTGGGAACATCTTTTATTTATTTTTTGTCTTTTTGAGACAGGGTCTTGCTATGCAGTTCAGACCAGCTTTGAACTCACTTTGTAGCCCAGGCTGGCCTAAACAAACCTATATTTGTGCCCCAGCCTCTGAGTGCTGGCATTATAGGTGTGTGCCACTAAACCACATCCATTGGAGACACTTTTTAGTCTTCAGGAAAAACTGAGTGGATTTTTTTATGTGTGTGTGTGTGTTTTTTTTTTTTTTTTTGCAGAACCAGGGATTGAACTCAGGCCCTTGAGCTTGCCAGGGAAGCGCTTATTTCACTGAGCCATCTCCCCAGCCCAT